CGTGTTTTTATATTACCTGAAGTACACACAGACCTTGCATTTGTGTGTTCACCCCCACAGACGCTCGCCATTTCCTTGTGCTGGAGGTGGACGCTAAGAGTGGGGAACTCCAGCAAAAAGCCCCCGAACCTCCCATCTGTGAACTGATGTGGTGGCGGAGTGAGTTGGGCTGCCGCCTGCCTTGCTGGTATTCCACGTGGGCAGCAGTTGATTCCTGGACCCTCCACTTGCCATCCGGCTCCCCGCTAACAGACCTGGGAGGGCAGCAAATGACCCGAGCGCTTCGGCCCCTGCACCCACGCGGGAGACTTCGAAGCTCCTGCTTCCTGGTTTCTTGGCTTTGGACCGGCCCAGCCTGTGCCACTGTGGTCACTTGGGAGGTGAACCAGTGGAAGGCAGATCTTTTTCTCTCTGCTAACTCTGCCTTTCAAAAAAATAATTTTAAACTTGTTTTATTTTTATTGGTAAGTCAGACATAGAGAGAAGAAACAGAGATCTTCTGTCCACTGATTCACTCCCCAAGCGGCTTCAATGGCCAGAACTGAGCTGACCAGGAGCCAGGAGCCTCTTCTGGGTCTCCCACGTGGGTGCAGAATCCCAAGGCTTTGGGCCATCCTCAATTGTTTTCCCAGGCCACAAACAGGGAGATGAACTGGAAGTAGGGCCGTCGGGATTAGAACAGGTGCCCATATGGGATCCTAGCACATACAAGGCAAGGACTCTAGCTCCTAGGCTATTTCACTGGGTCCTAAATAAGTCTTAATTAAAACAAAAACTTCAGTCTCCCACACGAGTTGCAGGGATCCAAGTTCTCGAGCATCTCCTGCTGCCTCTCGGGTGAGCATCAGCAGGGACCTGGAAGCGGAAGTGCACCCAGGCCTCAAATACAGCAATTCATACATGGGAATAAGCGGCACCTTAACGACTGCCCCAATTGCCCATTCCCACCTAATTAGACCTTCACGTTTTCCTTAGTATAAATGCTACAATTTCTTTAATATGCATGTCCCAAATACTATATTGAAAAAGTTATGTGAGGTTCAGTGCAATAGCCTGGTGGCTAACGTCCTTGCTTTGCATGTGCCCAGGATTCCACATGGGCACCAGTTTATGTCCCATCTGCTCCACTTTCCATCTAGCTCCCTGCTTGTGGCCTGGGAAAGCAGTGGAGGATGGCTCGAGTCCTTGGGTCCTGCATCCACGTGGGAGACCTGGAAGAGGCTCTGGACATCAGGTCAGCTCAGCTCCAGCCACTGTGGCTTTGGGGAGTGAACCAGCAGATGGAAGATCTGTCTCTTCTTCTCTGTAACTGTCTAAAAAAAATTTAATCTTTAAAAAAAGCTGTATGGGGCCTGGTGCGGTGACCTAGAGGCTAAAGTCCTCAGCTTGAATGCGCCGGGATCCCATATGGGCACTGGTTCTAATCTTGGCAGCCCCACTTCCCATCCAGCTCCCTGCCTGTGGCCCAGGAAAGCAGTCAAGGACAGCTCAAAGCTTTGGGATGTTGCACCGGTGTGGGGGACCCAGAAGAGCTCCTGGCTCCTGGCTTCGGATCGGCGCAGCAACGGCTATTGCAGTCACTTGGGGAGTGAATCATCGGATGGAAGATCTTCCACGCTGTCTCTCCTCCTCTCTGTATATCTGACTTTCCAATAAAAATTAATCTTTTTCTAAAAAAAGCTATGTGATCTATTTCTGGGTCTTAGTTTAGCCTGGCACTCTATCTTATCTGGCAACATACCAGGTTCTTACTCCAAGATACAAAGGGAATTCTACAGGGCACAACTAAGAACGGTTTTATTCTGAATAAAGCTAGAGGTGACTGGCAAATAGACCCATTTTTTCTTGCCATGAAAGCAATGAGGACAGCTGGTGCTGCAGCAGCTGCTTATGTCATAGCATGATCAAAAACCAGTACACTGGGCCTGGCATGGTAGCCTAGTGGCTAAAGCAGGCACTGTGGAGTGTCAGGCTTTTGGCTTGTGCGTTCCACTCTGTCCTCAGCATACTGCTTTTTTTTTTTTTTTTAAGCCATTATGAACACACAAAACATCATCCTTGTTAATGTGGTACACACATGCAAATGACAAGTTTCCGAACACAGAGCCCACTACTGGCCACATGCATTCGTTGTCTGGCCTGTGTCTGGAAAACAACGCATCTGGCCCACCACTCACCTGCGGCTTCACCAACGCTGGATGGGGAAGAGACGCTACGGTCAGGCCAAGCCCTCCCTGCACTGAGAAGGGAGCCAGCCAGGAGGCAGCTGCTCGCTCTGGGCTGTTCCTGGTGTACCAGCCACTGTCCACAGGCAGCCCAAGACAGTCCACACGGTGGGGAGAGGGGACGGAGCGCCCGGGGCTGGGCGGGGGTACTGTTCACTGCCTCACACAATCAGAAAGTCCGTCACAGGTGAACCACCCGTGTGCCTATGAGCTGCAGGTGCTGCAGGCTGGGGGTCCGGCTGACCCGCATTATACGGTACGAGCCTCCTAGTTCGCTCTGACGCGCTGCCGCTCACTCCACGGCTGACGACAGCAGGCATTTCCTCGCGGAGGTGGAGGGGTCGGCTTCACCAGGCTCCCGTGCAGGTGCTGTGAGCGGCGGTGCCCCAGGAGGCCCCAAGCGCAGCCCCTGCTCTCTGGTCCCTCTCAGCTCCCGGCAGCTGCTCCACTCCTCTCTGTGCCCCTTGGGTCACCTTCAAGGCATGATACCCCCAACCTGTTCTTCCCTCACAGCGACACCTCCTCCAATAGGCCCTCCGTGATAATGCTAGCCCACACAGAGAACTGCCCCACATATCCCCAAGACCCCCCGAATGTAGCCCACGCGCGCAGCTGCCCTTGCAAACACTGGAAGGAGCACACGCCCGGGCTGGGTACATCAGGACGTGGACACGTGGGGGCGATTACTCAGCACGCTGCAATCGCCATGACAAAGGATGCAATCCGGTGGGCCCAGTCTGGTGAGGCAAAAACAGGTGCCAGGGCAGTGCACCAGTTCCTGGGCAGGCAGAGGGTTCACGGTGCTGGGCACCACAGGAGGTGCCACAAGAAAGAGTGCAGAGACAGCGTGGGGTAGGAGTGGGGTAACATCCCAAATGGACTTAAGGCCGATGACTGACTCACAGGGAGGAGACCCGGTCAGAGCAGGACACGGGTGCGTGGCCTCAGCTGCCATCACCGTGAACTCTGGCCCACCCCGGGGAGGGCAGGACAGCAACCGCCTCGTTAGCACGGGCAATTGGCAAGTGAGATTTATTTGAACAACAAGGCAAAAGGAACAGGAAGGACACCTTTGTGACCAGCGGCTCCACGGTGCGGGGCTGGACGTCGGCGGGGCCTCTCCATGACCGAGGAGGGCATAGCGTCTCCTCCAGGAAGGCGGGCAGTGCCAGCTTCACCTGGTCAGTAGGCTATCTCCTTCAGACCTGCGGGCAGCAAGCACACAGACGCCAGTCAGAGCGGGGACCCAGAGACCGCAAACCTGCTGGGGCCTGCGGGGCAGTCTGCAGCTCCTCACTGCAGCTCCTCTCCCCGCTGCGTACAGGAGAGCTCACGGACAGGAGGTCGGCCGCATTCTGTGTATGAGTGGCTTGAAGGGATTAAGAAAGCTTTCTGAGAGTTTACAGACTCCCTGCAGTTGACATAAAAAGGCAGTCTTTACATGCTGAACTTTGAGCAAGCTCAGATATGGTTTTTCAACCACGTACACATGGGGCACTGCCAGAAGCTCACAGCAGAAGGCAATAAAAGGAGGACCAGCGCTGCAGCACCGTGGGTATGGCGGCCACTTGCAATGCCAGCTTTCCATACAGGAGCCAGCTGCAATCAGAGCTGCTCTACTTCCAATCCAGCTCCCTGCTATTGGTCTGGCATGGCAGCAGAGAACAGCCTGAGTCCCTGGGCCCCTGCGCCCACACAGGAGACCCGGATCAAGCTCCTGACTTCTGGTTTGGGGCCAGCCCACCTCCAGCCACTGTTGTTTTTATTTGAAAGGCTGTTTTCACAGAAACACACAAACACACAAAAAAGACCTTATGGGGAGAAGACAGCAACATAAAAACCCACCAGTTAGTGTCTCTAAGTCGCACACAAATTTTGAAAGGATTTTCTGGGGCCGAATTGCACAGCTGGGTAAATTTACAAATGAACAGAAGCGATAAGCCCAGCCTGGAATTCTCACGCAGGGCACACCTTGCCGTTCTCTGTTTCGCGGCAGTCCCTGCAGGAGGGCCCAAGTCACACGGCTCCCTTCTGTAGGAGGCTCCCAGGGCAGTGACACAAGGGGCAACCACCAGGTGAAGCCAGACCAAGGAGAAACTGGGTCAAGGCCAGGGTAACGCGAGTCCCCGCGGCCCCACTCCGCGCCATGGGGTTGTGAGCCCACGTGATGATCTGTGTGTTCAACAATTAGCAACCCTGATCATAACGACACACTCATTACCTCCCAGGAAGATTATTTCTTTAAACCCTCAAGGTCTTTAACCTTCCAGCTGTGGGGATCTCACAGCTAGTCCTGCAAAGGCCATTCGTCTGGGGGCATGGGTTAATCTACACAGTTCCCCTAGTTTCTGCAGGAAACACAGAAGACGGAATGGCATGCTGCCTGTACATGTAGACACTCGGACAGCACGCTGCGCACACAGACACACGGACGGCACCCTGCACAGACACACGGACGGCACGCCGTGCACACAGACACACGGATGAAACACTGCACACAGACAGACAGCACGCCGTGCACAGACACACGGATGGCACACCATGCACAGACACACGGACGGGATGCTGTGCACGCAGACACACGGACAGGACGCCGTGCACACAGACACACGGACGGCACGCCGTGCACACAGACACATGGACGGCACGCCGTGCACACAGACACACGGATGGAACACTGCACACAGACACACGGACGGGATGCCGTGCACACAGACACACGGACGGCATACTGCACACAGACACATGGACAGCACGCTGCACACAGACACACGGACGGCACGCCGTGCACAGACACACGGACGGCACACCGTGCACAGACACACAGACGGCACGCCGTGCACAGACACACGGACGGCACACTGCCTGTGCACGCACACAGACACTACACACATGATCATCCACTTCCTCCAGGGCCTACAGCCCCGAGACGTCTCTCACTTCCCAGCCCAGGGCAGTGCCCGTCTCTAGGTCAAAGCCACAGGGCCATGGCCACGCACCCAGCTCACGTCCGCCCTTGGTCGCCCAGCACAGGCAGTAATGCTGCATGAGCTGCTCCAGAAGCTCCATCTCGTCCAGGAACTCCAGGGCCTCTATCCTGTGGAGGTGCAAACAGAAGAGCGAGCGTTTACACACTGCTTGGTGCACACGAAGAAGCTGAGTGCAGGTCACCCGTACCGAAACACACGATGTGTTAACTGGCAGAGGAGGCTACAAAACAAACAATATGGTGAGGAAACAAAAAAATCTAAGACCAAAGTCCTTTTCAAAGTTTTATTTATTTAAAAGGCAGGATGACAGAGACAGGAAAGCAGGGAGATCTTCCATCCACTGGCTCACTCCTCAAATAGCTGCAAAGGCCAGGGCTGGGCAGGCCAAAGCCAGGCTCCAGGGACTACACCCACTTCTCCCACATGTGTCGCAGGAACCCCAAGCACGTGGGACCCTCTTCTGCTGCTTGCCTAGGCGCATCAGCAGGGAGGTGCACTGGAAGTGGAGTAGCTGGGACTCAAACTGGCACTCATATGGGATGCCGGCACCACAGGCGGTGGAGTAACCTACTACACCACAAAGCCAGGTGAAACAAACGTTTTCAACTATCAGGATCACAAAGATCAAAACAAGCTTACAAGTATTTCAGCAAGGTTAGGGAGGAAAATTCCTGGTGGGATTACAGAATGGTAAAACCAAACAGCAGAAATGCTCTGGATGGCAATGAGCACCGTTGCAGAAGCCCGAAGCACAAAGCCCGATCCTGCAAGGCTGCTCGGAGAAGCCACCCTGCGGCGCGTACTGGCACAGCAGGTGCGGTTCACACAGCCCCTACCGGAGTGCCAGAGCTCTACTCCTTTTTCTTTAGGAAAATCAGATACACACTGAGGAGAGACAGAGAGGAAGATCTTCCGCCCGCTGATTCACTCTCCAAGTGGCAGCAACAGTTGGAGCTGCGCCGATCCAAAGCCAGGAGCCAGGAGCTGCCTCGGGGTCTCCCACGTGGGTGCATGGTCCCAAGGCTTTAGGCCATCTTCGACTGCTTTCCCAGGTCATAGCAGGGAGCTGCATGGGAAGTGGATCAGCTGAGATATGCACCAGCACCCACATGGGATCCCGGCACATGCAAGGCCAGGACTCTCATCACTAGGCTACTGTGCCAGGCTCCTGAGTTCTACTTCTGGCCCCACTTCTGCTCCAGCTCCCTGGTCACGTGCATCCTGGCAGTCAGAGGTGGTAGCTCAAGCAGCGGAGTCCCTACCAACCATGTGGGAGAGCTAGATTAAGCTCCAGTCTTCCGGCTTCAGCCTGGCCAGTCACAGCTGTCGCAGATGTTGGCAGGAATGAGCCAGAGGACAGAACAGGTGTCTCTGCCTCTCTTTGTAATCTATTTATACATATATATATTTATTTATATAATTTGCCCTATACATATATTGTTGGATCATTATTCCAATGCAGCAGTAAGTAAAACGCTCTAAGCTGGGCCAGCGCTGCAGTGTAGCGAGTGGAACAGCTACACAAGGTGCCATATGGGTGCAGGTTTCACTCCTGCTCCAGCTCCCTGCTAACAGTGTGGGAAAGCAGCAGGGGTTGGCCCAGGTGCTCGGGCCCCTGTCCCCACACGGAAGACCCAGAGCAACTGGGGAATGAAGCAGTGGATGGAAGACCTCTTCGTCTAATTCTCTTCAGGAGCACAGTGCCAGTGAGAGGCAGAAGAGCCGAATAAAAACCACAACAATTCAAAAGCGTAAGCAACAAGGTCAAAAGCTTCCTCACGGACATCAGAGATCAAAGCTATACCACCAGGTCACCCCAGGGGAGAGACAAAAAGCACGGATCAGGAAGGCACGAGTGTAGACAGACTTCAGGTAGAACCAACACCCTGTACCATGTGTGCATGTGGAGCTGGGCCCACAGAGCAGAGCAAAATAGGATAGCACAGTTAAAGCCTAGTGGGTCTAGTGTGATGGCTTCATCGACTAATCCTCCCAGTGCTGGGATCCCAGGATCCCATGTGGGTTCCAGTTTATGTCCCAGTTGCTCCACTTCCCATCCAGCTATCTGCCTATAGGTTGGGAAAGCAGTTGAAGATGGCCTAAAGCCTTGGGACCCTGCACCTGCATGGGAGACTCAGAACAAATTTCTGGTTCCTGGCTTTGCATCAGCTCAGCTCCGGCCATGGCAGTCATTTGGAGAGCGAACCAGCTGAATGAAAAATCTTTTTCTCTCTTCTCCATAAAATCTGCCTATCCAATAAAAGCAAATCTTTTTGAAAAAAAGAAACAAAGTTTAGTTACAGCCACTCTCAATGGTTTCAATATTATTACCAATATACCACATCCATATATCAATAAAAATCTCAAAGATGCACAGGATTACGTTCCCTAAAATAGGATATGCTTGCCCGAAGTATTTTTAATGGAAAGATAAAGGCGATTTACTAGTAAGTTTAACAACAGGAGTGCGGCACAACCTGTCAAGCTGCTGCCCGGGACGCCAGAACCCACAGTGGAGTATCTGGTTTGAGTCCCAGCTAAGCCATGCTTCCAGTCCAGCTTCCGGTCACGGGCCCGAGAGGCAGCACACGACGGCCCAAGCACCTGAACCCCTGACACCTCTGAGGAAGACCCGGGGAGCTCCTGGCTCCTGATTTCAACCTGGCGCAACGTGGGCTGCTGTGGTCATCCGGGCAGTGAACAAGCAGACGGCAGAGTTCTCGCTCTCTCTGACCTTTCAAGCAGCCAAACAAACATTTCTAAAATAAATAAATAAATAAAAACAGGAGAGTGACTTAACAGGTTCCTGCGTATGGTATGAATCCACTGATTAAAACAACAGGAATCTGGGCCAGCCCCGTGGTCTAACAGGGTAAGCCTCCACCTGCGGTGTCAGCATCCCACATGCTTTAAATCCGATCGCTGCTCTTCCCATCCAAGTCTTCCTGCTAATGTGCTCTGGAAAGCAGCAGCAGATGGCCAAATCCCTGGGTCCCAGCACCCATCAGCGAGACCCAGAGAAGCTCCGGGTACCTGGCTTTGGACTGGCCCAGTTCCAGCCACTACAGCCACTTGGGGAGCAAACCAGTGGGTGCAATATCTCCCTCTCTGTAGATCCGCCTTTCAAACAAAAACACTTAAAAAATTAGGAATCTATGGATCGATATCTATTTATTTGTGCACACGCATCAGAAAAGATCATGGTCTGTGGAAACAGCTATCTTCAGAGAGTGGGACCACTAAACGGACGTGACTGCAAATTCCATGTACTTCACATTGCTTCAAACATTTTTAAGGGGAAATGTTTTTCTTTCAGAATAAGGGTGAAGTCCATCTGCGCCAGGAAACTTTTTGTTTTTTCTCATAACAACCCTTGGGCGAGGTTATTTCCCTCCTCTGCCGACATAGGAATCATGTAGAATTTCCACCCCCGGACACTGCTGTGGGAATTCTCCAGCTGTGACTGCTTGCTCTGACTAAAATAGTCTGCTTTGGCGAAACTCTATCTCAACTAACAGCGAGCGAATTATCCTCACGTTGCTAACAATGTGTGGCTCGATTCAGAGTGAGTCCGGTTAGGGGCAGGTTGGGTTTTGTTGCATTAGGGCAGGAAGACAAGCGAGCCTTGAGTCCCCAGGGCCCTGTCCCCCGACCCCGCCGACCCTTACCTGTTCACCTCGGCGCGTGGTAACCGGCTGTACAACGCCATCATGTCCACAGCTGCCGCCGTCTCCCACCCACAGGCCAGCAGCCGCTCTTTCTGCAACGGGCAAAGCAGGAAAGCTACAAGGTGCCGCCCTAGGTGCCCCAGACTCCCCTCTCACGTGTGGGAATCTCCTGGGGGACTCCTCTTTCAGGAGCCCACCCCGGCCCTGGGACCTGCGTTCTGCCCACTAGCCAGAGTTCCACCCTGAGCGTGCTTGTTGTCACGGTGGGGACACACTGAAGTGTGTCTGAAGAGAAGCGGGAGGAAGTGGCCCACCGCCCAGGTCTCTCCAGGTGGCCTGGGGCAAGACACGACCAAGACAGGTACAAACCAAGTTTCGGGAACAGCGCGAGGGCCGCTCAGCGTCTCATCACAAACAGACAACAATGGCTAGGAGGGTGACTGGTTACGAGAGGGTTCAAGGGTGTATTCAACACTCAGGTATGGACTGTGTCTGGCTCTCTATCAAACACACCAATCATAAAACAACTGAGGGGAACAGAGCCTGGCCTGAGCGGCACAGCACACGGCAAGAAGCAGCCGTGCCTGTCCGAGCCCTGTGGAGGCGGCACATCAGTAGATGAAGGCAGGCAGCCCAGACCGGCGGAGCCTCCAAAGGAGTAATGAGCCGAGAAGTCGCTGCCACCAGGGGTCTGCCTGGGAATAACCCAATACCGACAGCATGGTGGAGGGGGGCACACGAACAACGCCCCCAAAACACTGGCTCACAGGTCGCGGTGTCAGCTTTGTCGCTCCTGCAGCCGAAGGTCAAGCAGACAAAGAGCGGGAATTGCAAACGCACAGTTTCCCACACCAAGACGGCAAAGTGGGACTGGCATTCCCCAAGAGCCGTCAACTCGCCGGTGGCCTGGCTGGCACCAGAGCTGCGTGCCGGCGCTCTGCAAGGGAGAAGCTGCCCTTCCTCGGTCGGCTTAGGGTACTGGGAGTGGGGCAGGGGGCTGTCCCAGGCTCTGCCCTCTGACCTGCGACTCCAGCGATCTGCAGGTTTCCACGCCTGCCAGGTCACACTGTCGTCTCCGCAGGTTTTCGATCATGATCTGGCCGAACCGATCGCCCATGTTCACCTGCGGAGGGAAAGCGGACGGCCATCACGCCCAGGGTCGGTGTCTCCCCAGCGCGCACCACACAGCACCGAGGTGCCATGTTGAGGCTGTCATGGTGGTCACACGCTCTCATGAGGGGGAGGGAACGTGGGGCACTTGGTGCAGGGAGCAGAGCAGCCCTGCCAGGGGCACTCAGGGGCACCCCGCCAGGGGCACCCCGCCAGGGGCTGTGCACATCCACTTCGAATGCTCCACCACGATCGGCCGAGTCTGCAGATACTGCCCGCACGGATGCACGGCTGCTAGCTACAGTGTCAGCCACGGGGACAGGAAGGAAGGCAGCCCCTCCAAAAGCAAGGAACAAAGGAAGAAGGATCATACGCGCCCACCTGCTGTAAGAAAGAAGAAACAACCCCACTCCTTGTGGAGATGCAACGTTGCTGCCCACACCAGGGAGCTCACCTCTTCTCACCTGCGCTTTCACCCTGTCTGACTATCACACTCCATTCTTTTTGCATTAAAAGAAAATATTTTAAAACACCAGTTAACTGGGGATGGCACAGTGGTGCAGTAGGCTAATCCTCAGCCCTGTGTCACTGGTATCCCCACATGGGCACCAGTGTGTGTCCCGGCTGTTCTGCTTCCAACCCAGCTGCCTGCTGAATGGCGTGGAGGAGGCAGCAGAGGATGGCCCAAGTGTCTGTGTCCCTGGAGACATGGGTGAAGCTCCTGGCCTCATTTTGGCTTAGCCCAGGCCACTGTGACTATCTGGGGAATGAGCCAGCAGACGAAAGCGCTCTAACGCTTTCACATAGATAAGTCTTTCACATAGATAAGAATGAGATTTCAAAAAACAAAGCCGGTAAAACCCATATAGGCATTTCAAACAGCTAAGAGGGGGATGTGTTCGGCACAGCAGTGAAGTCACCTGGGGCACCACGTCCCACACTGGAGTTCTGGGTTCAAGTCCTGGCTCTGCTTGCTGCTGGTGCACACCCTGGCAGGCAGCAGGTGCCAACGGCTCACGTGCTTGGGTCTGCGCTATGACCTGGGAGACCGAGCGGGAGCTGCAGGCTCCTGGCTCTGTTCTGGCCTACCGTAAACTGCGCAGGCGGCTGGGGAGGGAGCGGCAGAGGCGAGATCTGCATCTCTGTCTCTCTGCCTTTCAAATAAACAAACTGAAAAGCACCTGGGAGATGGGGGGGTTCTGGAGGTTTTCAATTAACTGATTCTGGAGAAATAGGTGACGGGAACTAAGTGGCGGTCACCACCAGGAAGTGGCCATGATATTCTAGGCCACCCCACCCGTGCACCTGGCCGGCTTCCCCCACCTGCACCCCCTGCCTGCCCCTGAAGACATCCAGTTGCTCCCACTCCACTGATGGCAACCAACCCCCACCCCCACCCCCGCTTTCTTCTATGCCTACAAAGAGACAATGGTAAGTAAACAAAGATTCCTGCAAAGGGTCAGATGGAAGCGTTGAACCCTAACCCAGAGTTCCAGGAAGTGGAGATCTCAGGTCTACGGGGCTGCCGGAGGGGCTGGAGGCAGGACAGCACAGCAAGCACAGGCTGAGGGGGCTAACCCGGAAGCCCAGCGTCCTGTGCCCCCTTTACCTGCTCATAGTTTACGAACATGGCCGTGTGGAAGCTGCGGGCTGCCCACTTGAGGAGGTTTGCAGACTGCTCCGGCGTCATGTAAACCAGCACGCATTCGGCTATCAGGAGGGTTGGCAGTCTTAGAAGAAGAAAAACGGCACATTAAGTCTGTCTCCACCTAGTTAGGTACGTCTAATTGTGCACACGCAGGGATTTCAAAAAGTATGTGGAGGAATGAACTGAAAGATCTTTACGCTGGTGCATTACTTTTGAAATCCCATGCAGAGTTTTTTCATAACTGCTCACATTTTCCATCAGTTCTTTCATGAGAATGCTATTTATAGATTTCAAAAATGCAGCAAAATAAGCATGTGTTTCAATTCCATTTTCTCCGTGAACTTCCTGAAGTACCCTCATTTACGACAGTACTCGCAGGGCGGTCACCCTAGAAAAACCGGAAGGCCTGTGCCAACACAGCACCAATCAGAGCAGTGGGAGCCGTGCGGTGCCGTCCCTGGGGCACACACAGCCACCAGGGGACAGCACTCTGCCTGGCTCATGAAGACACACCGATCTCATGTGGCTCAGGCTCTGTGACAATGTCATCCACGCAGGAAATGGAATCAGGCAACTGACGTGGCAGGTAAGGTGTCCGGGTCCCCTACCGCCAAAGCCAGTCCCAGCTCCTGACTCCAGTTCCTGCTAATGCAGACTCTGGGCACGGTAGTGAGGGCTCAAGTCATTGGGGTTTCTTAGACCCACTTGGTACATGTCTGCCGAAGCAAGCGCTCTTAGACCCACTTGGGAGAAGTGAACTGGGCTCCTGGCTCTCACCCCAACTAGGGGCTACTGTGGGCACCTGAGGAGTAAACAGGTGATGGAAGGGGGCTGGTGTGTGTGTGTGTGTGTGTGTGTACACACCTCTGAAAGTGAACAAAATGGGGGAGGGGAAAGTGCAGGTGATTCTAATAGAAGTACAAAGTTGCGAAAAGGTGCTCCTTAAAACTTCCAAGGGTCCTGGAATGGTAGCCTACTAGCTAAATTCCTCACTTCACATGCGCCCAGACCCCAAATGGGCATTGGTTTATATCCTGGCTGTTCTCCTTCCCATCCAGCTCCCTGCTTGTGGCCTGGGAAAGCAGTCGAGGACAGCCCAAAGCCTCGGGACCCTGCACCCGTGTGGGAGACCCGGAAGATGCTCCTGGGTTTGAATTGGCTGAGCTCCGGCCATTGCATCCATTTGAGGAGTGAACCAATGGACGAAGCTCTTCTTCTCTGTATCTCCTTCTCTCTGTAGATCTGACTTTCCAATAAAAATATATATGCCTTAAAAAAAAAAAAAACTTCCAGAAGATTACTCAAGCATCCATGAGAAAACGGAAAACACATGGAGTTAGAATAGACCCGGCAGCACACTGCCCTGGCCAGGGCCTGACTTCAGGGCACAAAGTCATGAACACATTAAGAAAAAAAACCTCACTGTGTGTTCATGTTACATTTCTTTAGTTTCTCTTCCAGGTCAGCTAGGTCTCGGAGATCTGCTCCCACAATGGCGTATCTCTTTGAATCCATCATGTGTCCATCTGCAAATCCAAGCAAAGAATAATTTCAGCACAAAACCACAAAGAAAATATTATAAGTTCAATGTGTAAGGCTTTTTTGTTTTTAATCTTTCCTAGTATTATTATTTTTTTTAAAGATTTACTTATTTTTTATTGAAAAGGCAGATATACAGAGAGAGGGAGAAACAGAAAGGAAGATCTTCTACCCGCTGGTTCACTCCCAAGTGTCTGCAACGGTCCGAGCTGAGCTGATCTGAAGCCAGAAACCAGGAACTTCCTCTGGGTCTCCCACGTGGGTGCAGGGTCCCAAGGATTTGGGCCATCCTCTACTGCTTTCCCAGGTCATAGCAAGGAGCTGGATGGGAAGTGTGGCAGCCAGGACACGAATCGCAGCACATGTGGAATCCCAGCATGTGCAAGGCAAGATTTTAGTGACTTGGAGCTGGTGTTGTGGCATTAAGCCACTGCCTGTAGTGACAGCATTCCATACTGGCGTCAGCTTGAGCTCTGGCTGCTACACTGTCAATGCAGCTCCCCAAGAAGATGGCTCAACTCCTTGGACCCCAGCACTCATGTGGGAGACCCAGAAGAAGCTCCTGGTTGCTGGCTTCAGCCTGGCCCGGTCCTGGCCACTGTGGCCCTCTGGGAATGAACCAGCACATGAAGATTCTCACTCTGTCTCTAATTCTGCCTTTCCAATCATGAAAACATGAAGCAGTAGGCAGGAAAACACTGAAGTGCGAGCAGCGAAACCACAGCCTGACCTGGCGTACCAGCACCACAGGCCGGAGAAGTCTCATCAGGAGCGAGGGCCCCTTCTGCCTGGGTATGCAGGCAGACACGCCTGAATACATTAAAGACCAGCACGTCTGTACTGAGTCTTCTGTCCCCAACCAGACACACAAAAAACAAAGAAACAAAACACCGCCAATTTTAAGGCGTACTATTCCCTAGTTGAGGGGAGCTGTATCTCGCTCGGGTCAGGAAGCTAGGTGCAAACTAAAAACCCCACATCAGCACAGTCACTCATCCACTGAGCACACACTCCAGCAGGGTTGCAGGGAGCCGGTGGCTGGAGGCCACAGCGAGCCTCCCTCAGATAACAACAACTGGACGGCTCACACACATCACCACCACGATTCACTCGCACGCTGGTTATACAAGCTGTGTACAGACAGCACCCCCAGGGAGGGCGCTGTGGGGCAGTGGGTTAAGGGACTACTTGGGAACCTGCACCCCACAGTGGAGTGCCTGGCTGGAGACCCAGCTACTCCAGTTTCAATGCACCTGGGAGGCAAGGAATGGCAGCCCAAGTATGTTTCACTCCTGCCACGCATCAGGAGGCCCGGGCAGGGTTCCTGGTTCCTGACGCTGGCCTGGCCCAGCCCTGGCTGCTGTGGCACCTGGGAGAGGGAACCAGCGCATGGCAGAGCTTTCTCTCTGCCCCTCCCTCTTTAACGAACCGTCTACCCTTGTCGGATGCTCGGCCACAGCTGCCAGGGAACGGGGTGTGTTTGTGGAGAACGTCATCTCAGAGTGTAGTATCCCAGGGAAACGTGCCGTTTGTAAAATGAGACCCGCACTGGCCCGAGGCCCGGGGATGAGAGCAGGCTTCTGGGAGCTGGTGGGAAAAGTGACTTGTTCACAAAATGAAATTCACATCCCTTTCCTCCTTCATTCTATTGCGCAAGAAAAAAGGACGGCCAGGAAACCCAAGCACTGTGCACGGCAGACACGGACTACAGGCACAGCTCATGGGTACCCCATCCGGAAAGCCAGCCAGCATTGAGCAGGCAGGTCTCCACGCCGCCCTAGTGGGGCTCCCTGGCAGCCACACTTCCTTGGATGAGAGAAGACCTGAAAACACGCCACTGTACTACGATTCAAGAAAATCAAAGCAGCAATTTGCATATGAGCAGAATTAAAGTAGCTTTTAAAAAGAATGGGGAGCGGCAGGAGCACAGAGGACAGCTATGAAAATCAATTACTCAGCATCGGTCACTTCCGAATTAAAGCCATCAGAGACCGTGCCACCAGGTCACCACTAGAGGGGGCTGTTGGCCACCAGATGCGGTCGCTCAAGGCCCTCGAGAGAATGGACTGAACTCAGAAGCCCCCAAGGCTGAGGAACTGCACAGGGGACTAAGCCATGGCCTCCAATGGCAGCGTGCCACACTGGAGTGCTGGTTTTCAGTCCCACACCACTCCACTTCCTTTTCTAAAGAGTTCTTTTATTTTTATTGGAAAGTCAAATAGAGAGGAAAATCTGCCGTCTGCTGATTCACTCCCAAAGTGGCCGCAATGGCCAGAGCTGTACCAATTCAAAGCCATGGGCCAGGAGCCTCTTCCGGGTCTCCCACGTGGGTGCAGGTCCCAAGGCTCTGGGCCGTCCTCGACTGTTTTCCCAGGCCACAAGCAGGGAGCTGGATGGGAAGCGGGTCTGCTGGGATTAGAACCGGTGCCTGTATGGGACCCCAGCGTGTGCAAGACGAGGACTTAAGTCACTAGGCTACAGTACCGGCCTGCCACTCCACATCTGAGCCAGTCCCCTGCTAAGGAGCCTGGGGAGGCAGCAGGAGTGGCCCAGGTACATGGGCCCCTGCCTCCCAGATGACAGATCCAGATGGGGTTCCTGGCCCGTCCCTGGCTATTACAGCCATACGGGGAGTGAACCTGCAATGAAAGACCGCTGCCTCTCTTGCTCTATGTCACTCTGCTGCAATAAAAACAAATATGTTAAAAAAAAATTCATTTGAAGAATCACACAAAGAGTTGCTTTAAGTCCCTTCAGGGTAACGGTGATACACACGGGCTTTTATCAGCAGAAGCATGTGCTGTATGTAGCCACACACACACACACACACAAGCACACACATGTACGCCCCATCTTCGTGGAGCAAAACCAGCAGCACCAACACCCCCCGGCCCCCAGGGGGCAGCACTTGGGCAGGGGTACTTGCCCATTTGAAGCGCGTCCTCCGAGTGCACCTCTGAAATGGGGTTTAACAGGACCGGCTTGCATCTAGAGGGGCGAGAAAGCCGAGGAGAGGTGAGTCCACCGGCTCCAGAGCCCGCGGGCAGCGAACTTGGGACCAGCGGTCCACATCTCAACGCTGTGCACAGGATAAGTTGGAGTTTGGATTTTTTTTTTTTTTCAAATTTTCGCTGTTGACCACCCCCTCCCCAAACGAGTCACAACGCCCCACAAGTTTCAGCCTCAGCAGCGTCTGCGTCTGCGGTTTCCAGGTCAGGGTCACCCTGCAAGGGCTCTGATGGAGCGACTGACCCTGGGCACGAGCAGGAAGCATCTCATGCAGACAGGTCTACACGCCGCATTCGGCTTCCGATGGACAAGTCACAAACTAATCAACAATTACTTGAGCTTGGCAGGAGCTAATGAGAGCCTAACAAGACATTTCCAAATTTTCTAGCTTCTTGCCTGTTCTCAAAAGCACAGCAAAATAAATCAAAAACACAAGATTTTTTTTTAAAGTTCCTTTGATTTTCCGTAAGTAATAAAAAGCAGTGACTCTCGCACAACCCTAAAGCTCAGGAAGGCTTGGGAGATAACTCCGCCAACCCAACAAATGCAAAACAAACAGAAAAAATGGAAGTCAGGGACCCAAGCTTGATATTCCCCCGGTTCCACGCAGTGCCAATCGGCCCCCCGCCCAGGGAAACAGCCTCCAGCCGGGCAGGGCCCCCACCCCACATTCTCTCATGTCACCCAGTTCCAACAGCTCAGTGGGGCTTACACGGCCCAGGGCCTCGGAAATGCCACTTCCACTTTAACAGCATATTCAATGGAAACTACAATCCTATTTTTCAGAAGGTGAAAAAAATTACTTTCATAGGACAACCTACACAAGGAAAAAGCTTCAGTAATATTTTCAAGTTGTAAGAATCAGCTATCTAGAATAAGTTGAAACCGCTGCGTCCATTTCAAGACTTTAAAGACTCAGGATTTTATTTAAACCCAGAGCAGGTGGGTGTGCATACGATTAAGGGGCCTCGGCACCGGCTTGGGGTCCACACTCACTTAATGTTGTGCAGCTTCCTCGTGACTATCATTGGAAAATCCACTTCAAAATATTTACTCGGCAGAAGATCTTCATCCTGGGAAAAACGCACAGCAGTCTTTGTCACTTTTTATTAACTCACATATTTGCAGATTATCTTTGGCAAGCTCAGCACCAGGTGCTGAAGGCCAATGAGGACTGGGACCGACACAATGGCTTAACTGGCAAAATCTCCACCTGCAAGCACCAGCATTCCATACTGGAACTGGTTCTAATCCCAGCAGCTCCACTTCCCATCCAGATCCCTGCTTGTGGCCTGGGAAAGCAGTCGAGGACGGCCCAAAGCCTTGGGACCCTGCACCCATGGGAGACCCGGAAGGAAAGTTCCTGGCTTCGGATCAGCTGTTGCAGCTACTTGGGGAGTGAATCATCGGATGGAAGATCTTCCTCTCTCTCCTTCTCCTCTCTGTATATCTGACTTTGCAATAAAAATAAATAAATAAATCTTTAAAAGAAAAGAAAAGAAACAGCCTCTTGGCATAGAGACAGGGGCAAAATGGCCAAGGCAGGGCAACTGTCATTTCCACCCTGTGGGCAGAGAGTCTCTGCAAGCCTTGCCCTTCACCCTCGTGGTAGCCCTGTGGGGAAGAGGAACGGAGACTCCTGGGATGGCACAGCCTGGGATGAACACGGCTGAGCAGTCACACACTCCCAAGGGAGACACCGCGTGCCCTGCATGAAAACAGAATCCAGAGACACTGAGCAGATAGTCGGTGTCGAGAGCGGTACAGTGGATCCCTCGGTGTACTGCGCTCAAAATCAGAAACGAAGACAGCCCGACAGCCTGCTACGGGGCAGAGAAAACCTCACACGCCGACAGAGCTCAGCCTAGCCCTCTGCCGACAATTATGAAGAAATTCTCTTTTGTTCCTTTTATTTAAGATTTTTTTTTTTTTATTGTTTATTGAAAAAGCAGATCAGGTTTACAGAGAGAAACAGAGACAGAGAAAAGATCTTCCATGCATTGATTCACTCCCCAAATGGCCACATCGCCCCAGCTGAGATGATCCAAAGCCCAGAGCTTCTTCCGGGTCTCCCACGCGGGTGCAGGGTCCCAAGGCTTTGGGCCGTCCTCGACTGTTTTCGCAGACCACAGGCAGGGCGCTGGATGGGAAGTGGGGCAGCACGGACACAACTGGCACCCACACGGGAACAAGGGGCTTTCAAGGTGAACATTCAGCCTGAGCCATCACTCTGGGCCTAGAACATTCTCTTACACTCTGTGCTGTACCAGCTTCTCACCCTACGGCCTGGGATGGAGGAAGAGAATCTTAACTCACCTTTAATTTCCAGAAGGTGGTGTCCATCCCTGCCCCGAGGTTGAGGATCTGACAACGGCACTCGGTCCTCTGTAGGAATGCCTTTATGAGCTGACCGACACCATGGACGCGAGCAAAATATCCTGAGACAGGGAGAGAAACGAGCCGTGACTCAGCGGCGTCAGAAACTAGTGCTGCAAAGCTCACTCCGCCAGCAGAGTCGGACAGACTTCAGGCTGGCACTGTGGAACAGCGGCCTGAGCTGCCACGTGCACCTGCCGCCCGTGTCACGGCACCAGGCTGGGTCCCAGCTGCTCTGCGTCTGCTCCAGCTCCCTGCTGACGCACCTGGGAAGGCAGAGGAGACCCGAAAGAAGCTCCTGGCTTCAGATCAGCTCAGCTCCGGCCACTGTGGCCATTTCAGGAGTGATCCAGCAGATGGAAGATCTTTCTCTCTATAAAGCTGATCTGCCTTTAAAATAAAAATAAATCTTAAAAAAGTTACTTGAAAGGAAGAGTGAAAGAGAGATCTTCCGTTTGCTGGTTCGTTCCCAAATGCATTCCAAGAGCCACGCACTGGCCAGGCACTTTACCGTGGATTGGGCCATTACCTGCTGCTTTCCATAGTACACGAGCAGGAAACTGGACTGGCAGCTCACTCCACTGCACCACAAAACCCACCTCCAAGGACATTTGAGAGCAGCCATTTTTAAACTTCTGTAGCAACCTGGCAGCATAATATTCTATCTGTTCAAAACACTAGTAAATCATTCTTATCACACTCTGTGGAAATATCCATGAGGACTGCAAATGGAGGAAAAGAACCCTCAGCACACACTCCAGGGGCAGCATATTCTTAGCGCATTGCTAACCACTCCTCCAAACTCCACTCCATCCATCCCCTAATTCAGAGGTTCAAATCCCAGAACAGGGAGCGAGCAGGAGGGGGAGGAGGCCTGGCTGCTGAGGGTCAGGGGGAGGGGGAATTGCCCTACTGGCTCCTGGCTCTACAGCAGGTTAGGAAGTCGGCCCCCAGGGCGCAGGAGGGAGAGCAGCGTCACAGAACACACACCCGCTCAGGAACCAGCACAAAAACACTTCTTGGCATTCCTACCAGAACCAACCCTCAGGATCACCCTGAGGCCAAGAGGCCCTCCACACACCAGCAGATGGCCACCAGCCGTGCTTCCCTCGGGCTGTGCCTGAATCAGGCTCCGCTCCCAAACCCAGCGACTTCTGGGGGTGGGGGAGGGCACTGCTTGTAGAGCCTGTCTTATTAACCAACACCAACACACTGCTGCACAAAGCCATGTCTGACATGAACATGGTTCCCAATAACAGCTGTTTAAACTGGAAATGATGTTCAACCTCACCCATAAGAGCAGCATCAAGGGCCCGGCAAGGAAGCCCAGTGGCTAAAGTCCTCGCCTTGCACGCGCCGGGATCCCATATGGGCATAGGTTCTAATTCTGGTGGCCCTTCCCATCCAGCTCCCTGCTTGTGGCCTAGGAGAGCACCCGAGGACAGCCCAACGCCTTGGGTCTCTGCACCAGCATAGGAGACCCGGAAGTTCCCAACTCCCAGCTGCAGCCACTGTGACCACTTGGGGAGTGAACCAGCGGACGGGAGATCTCTCCTTCTCTCTGTAAATCTGCCTTCCAATAAAAATAACGTCTTAAAATTTTTTTTTTTTTTTACCAAAGAGGACTATCAAATAAAATTATGATAAGATGCCACTTTCCATGTACCAGATTACCAAAGATCAAAAACTTCTCATGGGGCAGGCATTACGGCACAGCGGATAAAGCTGCTGCAGCCTGCAACACAGGCACCCCACGTGTCAGAGCACGGGCTGGAATTCCCACTGCTCCACTTCCAATCCAGCTCCCTAATACACCTGGAAAAGCAGCAGAGGCGCCCACTTGCTGGGGCCCCTGCACCCATGTGGGAGACCTGGACGGGGAGTGAGGATTCCAGCCCTGCCAAGGCCAGTCCCGCTGGCTGCAGCCATGTGGGGCATGAGCCAGAGACGGAAACGCGCAGTGTGGGGACAGCAGCACATCCCTGCACCCCGATCGAGCATCCGGGTGTCCGACCCAGAACAAACCCCGGGATCGTCAGGCCTCGGTGGGGATGCCAGCATGCTGGGGACGGGGGTCACTTGCCTCTGTTGATTTCGGGGGCCTTCCTCTCTTTGGACAGTCTCACGAAGTGCTGGATGTAGGGATCCTGCCAGTAGCCGAGGCTTACTGCAAACCTGAAAGTGGACGGAGAGGATCAGAGATTAGCAGGTCCAGGCCAAGGTCCAGGCAGCAGGTTAGACAGCCCTATAAGGCCAGCACACACACGCCCCATACCCCGTTACAAACACAAACACTCAGCCGACCACCAGCTCTCTCTCCTTGTCCCACGGCTCCTCAATCTCCCCAGAGTGGTCACACCTCCCGGCCCTTTCCTCAGAGTACCAACTCCTGTCCCAGGGTCTACATGCCAAAGAACCTCACCTCACACCGCCTATGGGAGATGTGCAGCACACTTAACCCCTGGGCAAACTCACTGGTCCGGGTCAGCTGACTGGCACCCTCAGCGTTCCTCGACTGTCCGGGCCACACCACAGAGGTCACGGAGGGAAAGCCAGAGGAACACCCCCAACCGCAACAAGCACTTGGGGTCCCCTGACGCCTCCCCACCCATGCTCAGTATTTTCAACTCTGGGGAGCCGAGCTCCTGAGTCAGCACTCACCTTCGCGCCAGCCTTGGCAGAACCAGCCAAGAAGGACCTGGCTCCCTGAGGACACACCCTGCTCCTGCAGGCTGGGAGCCAGCTCCAGCTCTCTGCGTGGGTCTACGACCCATCAGCACCTTCACCACTCGAGACACCCCGAGTCGGGCTTCTCATGCTCACTGCCTCGAGGCTCCCGGCGGACACCCCAGGCAACACCAGACGAGCTGAAGGTTGAGGGGTCTGTGTACATCAAGGCCCAACGTGAGACCCCCAGCTCCAACAGGTGCATAACCCTTCGTTTTCTCTTCCCAAAAGGCCTACCTCAACCTTAACTAACGCAGGTGCCAGGTACCAAGTTCTACAAAACAATGTCTCCCATCGCCTCTGTAACATCCGCACACCCATAGCTGCTGCCAAGGAAGTTTCCCAATGCTGCAACTGAAGACAAAGACAAAATACTTACCAACGGACATGACACAGTTTGCTATGTAAGTCCAGACTGACTAAGGAAAAAGGACCACAGAGCTTTAGGACATTAAACTTCAACTCTCTAAAATGGTGCTGGTCAGACACTCAATTGAACAGTTTTCAAACTTTAAAAAAAAAAATATTTAGGAAAGAGTAAAACAGAAAGTGTCAGCTTGCACTCCAGACAGTAAGGAGTTAGGACTTTTCTTAACACTTCTGTTGCAGTGTGAGAGGTTTGAAAAACACGGCATTCAGGGGAATCATCCAGGGCCACCTAGTGGTGAACGCAGTATCCGCAGACGACAGGTGCCTGCAGGTTCTCCCGCAGGTTGAAGGGTGGGAAAAGGAGGGAGAAAGAATCCACCAGCCGACTCCCACAGCCAGGACAGACCCCTGTCTGACTACTCCACACGCAAGCCACCTGCTCCACTGCTGGAAACTGATCAGCTAGCTGCCTCCCTCAAAGACAAAAACTGGAGGGGTTTCCAGGGCTCTCAGTGCCACTGATTTAGCTAAGCAACGAGTGCCTTCTGTTATGTGCTGGGCCCCGGTGACACAGAGGTGAGCAAAAAGAGGACAGACGTTAACTACAAAACGACGGTGCAGCAGGCAGCAAAGGCAGCGGCTGAGCTGCTGCTGGGTCACTGGGCGCAGGACCCTGCAGTATCAACAATGACTGGCTCTGAGATTTCTGGTGTCTTTTTCAAAATATATGTACATATATTTGCTTAAACTTTGTACAATAACCATGATGTAAAGCATCACCAATATGAAGATAAGTCAGCCAAACAGAAAAAAAAAAAATAACCATTGCTGACTTTGTTTTTATTAGCTAGAATTTTAATTCTGTGGTTACTAAAAAAAAAGTTCTTTTGCACATATTCAATTATTACCATCTCTCTCTTTTGCACACACAGAGAAGGGTGGCTGGGGAGAGGGAGGTAAGTTGGCCAAGTCTTCCTTCCAGGCTGTCGGCGCGGGCCCTCCTCTGGCGGTGTGCCAGTTCTCAGGAACCCCGGGCTGCCTGCGATGCTCCACCAGGCCGGCGGCCTCGCTCCAAGTCCTACCAGGGGCTCTCTCTCGATCTCATCACAAGTTCAGCAGGCAAGGGCTTTCATCTCTTCACCAGCCTTCCTACCCACCTACTACCGGAGAGGCACAGAGAGAGCGCTTCACCATGCCCAGTCACTGCCCAGAGCCCGTGATGCCCTGACTCAGCCAGGCTCAAGTCAGGAGCCAGGGACTCCACCCTGGCCTCCTGGGGGGGCGGTGCAGGCACCCGCCCCTGTGGGCTCCCATCACAGCCTTACGCAGTCTGCAGCATCAGGGAGCTGGAGCCAGGAGCCTGAAGGGGCTGTGGGGCCTGCGGTGCAGGCATCCTCACACCCACCCCGCACCTGAGGCCACACTCCCACCCTGCCGGATGGTTTTGCACCCGGTAACCATGACTGCAGCTCCTTCAGTGACCTGTGACCTGAAGCGTCCAGCAGCTGCCCCGCCGGCCACAGGCAGCCAAGCCTGCAGCACGACCCACAGTGCCTGCAGGACACAGATGGCATCTGCTCTCAAAAGGAGCTGGGACGGAAGCACGTGCGTCACGGGTCTGCATGTCGCCTCACGCACAAACGGCAGCACTACCCAACACGTCACGGAGCACCAGCCTTCTCACAATACTAACATTCTCATAGAGTCATCTTTTAAAATCCTAAAATAGATGTCAGATACATAAGATCTGTGCTCAGTACATAAATTAATTTTTCAAAACCCCTAAAATATCAGCAGAAAAAAAATCTATGAGGGCAATTCACAAATGAAAAAATAACACTGCTTTGCTGTACATAAAAAACTCAACCCTATCGATAATAAAAAAAAAAAAATTTCAAAAACCAGGGCCCGGCGTGGTAGCCTAGCAGTTAAAGTCCTTGCCTTGTACATGCTGGGATTCCAGCATGGGTGGCAGATCTAATCCAAGCAGCCCTGCTTCCCATCCAGCTCCCTGCTTGTGGCCTGGGAAAGCAGTCAAGGACGGCCAGAAGCCTTGGGACCCTGCACCCACGTGGGAGACCTGGAGGAGGCTCCGGGCTCTGGATCGGCTCTGGCTGTTGCGGCCATTTGGGGATTGAATCAGCAGATGGGGATACCTCCCCCCCCCGCCCCGTAACTCTGCCTTTCAAATAAAAACCTTTTTCTTTTTAAGATTTATTTATTTTTATTGGAAAGGCAGATGTACAGAGAGAAGGAGGAGAGACAGAGAGGAAGATCTTCTATCCGATGATTCACTCCCCAAGAGGCTGCAATGGCTGGAGCTGAGCCAATCCAAAGCCAGGAGCCAGGGACTTCAGCCAAGGCTCCCGTATGAGTGGACTGACCCAGCAGGCACCGGAGCCGTCCTCGGCTGCCCTCATGGGGACCTTAGCAGGGAGCTGGATGGGAAGCACAACAGGCAGATCATCAACTTGCACTGACAGGAGACACAGGTGTCACAGCAACACGCTTAACTTGTGCTGTAACACTGGTTGTTATACTCATTTATAACTATGTTTTCGATGCTATTGCAAACTATCTGAAATGTCATTTTCTCTTCTTTAAAAGATTTATTTCTATTTGAATGGTGGAATTACAGAGAGAATGAGAGGGAGAGAGATCTTACATCTACTGGGTCACTCCCCCAATGGCCTGTCACAGTCACAGCTCAGCTCAGCTCATCTGGACCCAGATGCTTCTTCTGGGTTTCTTACATGGGTACAGGGCCCAAAGAACATGGGCCATTCTCTTCTGTTTTCCCAGGCCATAAATACAGGGCTGGATCAGAAACGGAGCAGCTGGACATGAACCAGTGCCTATACTGGGCCCAAAAACATTATCTTTTTACATGTAAATACTTACTGATGAACTTCAACAATCAAAAGTGCTACTAAAGGGCCCAGCACGGTAGCCTAGCGGCTAAAGTCCTCACCTTGCATGCGCCAGGATCCAATATGGGCACCAGTTCATATCCCAGCTGTTCCACTTCCCATCCAGCTCCCTGCTTGTGGCCTGGGAAAGCAGTCGAGGATGGGCCAAGACCTTGGGACCCTGTACCCATGTGACAGACCGGAAGATTTTCCAATAAAAAAATAAATCTTAAAAAAAAAAAAAAAGAACATGCCAGTAAGAAGGATAAGAGACTTGACTGGAGCATTCACAAAAGCTGTAGGCATGTGTCTGACAATTTTGATGATGCTCTGAGTCGCTCAGCAAAGCACAGTCAATAGAGAAGTTACTTCTTCTCTGACCCACCTTCCTCTGTGCCATGACCCTCCCCTCCCGAATCAGAGGCCCACATGGGTGGGCATCCCTATCCACTATGTACTTAAACATTTTTAAATGTAAAAACTTTCTGCTTGTACAGTGTTATAAAGGTGGTTCTTAGCAACTGAAAGCTGGATAAAGCCTAGCATCACCCGTCCACATTCACAGATCTCACCTGGCACTGCCTGCCAGCCTCTACTTGCCCAGCTGTTGAATCACCCACCCCCAGTGCCCACCACGTCCCACGTGCTCCAAGTACCCTCACACACAGCATCACTTTAACCTTCACAGCCAGTGGGTGTTGTTATCACACCCATTTTACAGATCGGGAAACTGAGCCAGGGAATGGGCTTTCTTTTTTTTTATTAAAGCAGAGAGGAAGTGGAGGAACCCAGTATGAGGATGTGGCTCTAGAATTCACACTCAGAGCCACCAGCACACTCTCCAAGAACCACGAAAAGAACAAGGCTCACCTGCCCCTCCTCCAGGATTTTCTCTCAGTTCCTTCACCAGGAACAGATGCCCCTCCCCTGGTTTAGCTGAACTTCCTCCTAGCAACCCCCTTTCTGTGCACTGGGGGGCTAGTTCTGTCAAGTTAACCACAGACCCACCTGGAGAGTTCATAATCCAGGAGTGGGAGAGGCCTGGGAGGGAAATAATGGGCTCCTCTCTCTTGGGTTACCACTCCCACGGGAGGGCACAAAAACTGGGACAGGGGCTGGGGTGGCTAGACAGAAAGGCACCCAACAACATCCGTGAGGGCTGGATAGTTGAGCTGGTTAGATGGAACTAGGCTTTAACGCCCATTGACATGTATGAGAGCCAAATGGGATGTGGGACAGACTGGACTAGTCTGCTGCACATACTGGCAAACTAGGGTAGGGGAAGGGCCTGGTGGGGGTTATTGTGGGTTGCTCTGACTAGGCTGCAGCTCCCACTGGTTTATGCTAGGGCCGAGTATGTGCTGGGCAGAACCAGGCTGGACTGCAACACCCATTGGTCCCAGTGGAAGACAGCACTGGAAACAGAACCAACCCAGCAACTGCAACCACCAGCTGATTGGGGTGATGGACTGTGCTGGGCCCTGTACTTGCTAGCACATACAAGAATCTGGTCTGGGAACACCTCAAAGTTTCTTTGGGGATCCCCCCAATCGAACTGCAGGACTCAGAACCCTAACCATGAAAAGGCAGAAGACAGAACAAGTCAATCAACCACCTCAGCTATATGCTGGCAGTGATCAACTGGGCAAATGGAGACTCCATGATGGACTGTGCCAATCAATGGATTCTTCAAGGACCTCATTGTGCTTGGAGTGGTGACAGTGGCAGCAATTCATAACTGTTGAACTATCAAAACACTTGAGCAAGACCCTCGGAGCATGCCCCACATCAGGGACCTGGGGTGAGTGGAAGACTGGATGGGGCTTCTCCCTTAAAATCCCCCTCAGATATGTGAATGAAACAATATGGAAATAATAGTCTTACCCATTTTCCTGTAGCCCTTGAACCTTTTTACCCGAATTAACTATGTAAAGATTGTCCAAAATATAATAAAAAAAAATGGGAAAAAAAATCACTGGCTGTATCTGAGTAACTCTACTGTTCCCCAGCGCCCTCTGAGAAGCTGTAATTACACATTCCACAGGTCATCCTTCGTTTCCTCTTTCCCGATTGGGCTGTGGAGTTCAGGATTTACACACACACACGCACACACACACACACAGTCTTGCTTCCTAAACCAGACCCAAGTAGGGTCCGACATACGGTGACCTCCCCTTGACGTTCGTCTGAGCCGCTGGAAGCAAGAACCCTCACCACGCCCGTCTGGTCACGCCCCACCTCTCACTGGGGAGCCCTGGGGTACCAGCTCTGCAAAGCGGCCAGGGACAGGTCGCCTCCCTCTCGCGGCCGTGAACTTCAGGTGCACAGCAGGAGTCCTAACAAACCGAGAACCTGCACAACTGCCCCAGCCCTAGTCCCTGGCCTCGGGTCGGGGTTTGCAGGCAGGCTCCCGTTTCCAACAATACCGAGGCCGGGTGCGCCAGGTTCGGCGCCGTGCTCCAACTGAGACCCCCGCTACCTGCAGGCCACAGAGGTGGTGGGCCTGCAGGTGCACACAGGCCAGCGCCCGCCTCCCTCGGACCCCGCTCCCGAGCCCCAAAGGTACCTCTTACACAGAGAAGCATCCTCGCAGGTGCCGCGCACGCCCTCGTCGTCTGTGTCGCAGCTCGACGGCGAGGCGGAGGTGTTGAAGGACGGCTCCCTCAAGCTAGCGGCCATGGACTCGGAGGCTCCGGGGTGCCGTGACCACCAGGGACATGAAAGCAGTGTAGACACAAATGCCCGGGAAAAGGAGCGAGCCACAACAAAAATCCACGGGAGCCAATGGGTTCCACCTGGCACAGCTGGCGCGGCTCAATGACGCCGCCCACGACGGCTGCCCAGCAACCATCCTGCTCATTGGCGCCTCAACCACGAAGCTCATTGGACAACTTCCCTGCCCCTCACCGGACACAAGTGCTCATTGGGCGACTCTTGGTTCCACCCACACAACCCGGAAGTTCGCCAAGACATAGCGTAAACTGCGCCAGGGAGTACCTACCGCAGTGTTTTCGGGGAAATGCAGTCTTCGCTGCTTTGGGAGGCACCTGTTTTCTTCTAGTTAGTCATGAAATTTTTACAACTGTAATTAACTCAGGGTGGAAGAGCTATCAGGATCTTGAGCACTGGGGCGAAGGGCAGAGGATCAGGCAGATCAAGTGAATTGTTAGCATTCATTCTGGGGCCCAGTGTCATTCAACAGTTGAGCAAGTTGGAGTTCTAAGTGCCTTGCACACACAGCCTCAAAACGTCGTCAAAGAAACAATGACGGAAGATGCAGACAACGCAAGATACAATGGAAACCAGCTGCAAGGATCAACGGCTGAATCCCAAGCCAAGCCAAACTACTGTTGTGTAGAGAAACCTACACGGCCAGTAGAACATTCTACACAAAAGCAAAGTAATCTGTGGAAGGAATTAGGATATTGGTGACCTGTAAACAGTAGGAAAAGTAGGAGTCAGGAGGACAGAGAAAGAATCAGGAAAGACACCAACACCTGTGCAGTTCCTCAAGTTGGAACGGACGTATGCATGACGCTCATGTTCCCAAGCACATTTAAAATGCTCATGTCTTAGCTCCAAGTGGGAAAGCAGTGGAGCAAGGAATGCCCCTCCTCCCACCCCTTTGGTGTTGTCATCATCACTTCTACTCCTCCCTCCCTTACTCCAGATCCCTCCTGCGCAGGAGAGCTCCGGACAGTGGCAAGGAGGCCAGAAACTCCCCCTGGGTCTCCCACATGCACAGCAGACACTCAGGGTTCTTGAGCCATCACCTGCTGCCTGCTGAGGTATGCATCATTAAGATGAGAAGCCAAGTAACAGGGGCTCGAACCAAGCACTCTGATCGTGGCATGTGGGCATCCCAAGTGGCTTCTTGCCCTGTCACCAAGCAGCTGCCCACCAGGGACATGACTCTGATATCTCTAGTTGGGCACTGTGAGATCCTCCAGTGACACGTGACAAGCATTTAAGGGTGACCCACAAGGGGACTTGAGCTGCTGACCCAAACCTGCACCCCTGATGCCAAACTCGGAGTTGTGCTTGTAGCATTGTGCCGCTGGGATAAAAATTCTAGAGACGATATGGCAATTATAGAGGTCTGGGACTCCCGCTGAGACTTCTGTCTGTCTGCACAGAAGCGCAGCACAGGGCCTGCCCCTCCATCACAGGCCAGGAGGGCTGAGAGGATTGTTGGTTGCGGGTAAGAGTTCGTGTCCTGGCTGCTGCACTTCTGGTCTAACTCCACCAGAATAGCCTGGAATGCAGGAGCAGATAGTGCATGCCTGACCTGCCATACGTATGGAAGACCCGGATGAAACTATTGACTCCTGGTTCAGCCTGGCCAGACCCAGTGATTGAGACCATGATGAACTAGCACACAATTTCCCTCTCTCTCTCTCTCTCTCTCTCTCTCTCCTCTAAGGTCCGTAAACAACAACAATGATGTGTTCCGCATAGTTCTCAGTGTACTGGTCCGTTCACTGTTTTTGTTGACATATCCCTTCATGCCCTTTGCCCCTTTTCTACTTGAATTGGCTTCTCACTGTTCAATAATTTAAATATTTATTTATTTTTATTGAAAAGCCAGATTTACAGAGAGAAGGAGAGACAGAGATGAAGATCCTCAGTCCACTGGTTAATTCCCCAAGCAGCCACAATGGCCGAAGCAGAGCTGGACTGAAGCCAGGGAACCAGAGCCTCTTCCGGATTTCCCACATGTGAGTGCAGGGTGCCAAGACTTTGGGCCATCCTTGACTACTTTCCCATGCCACAAGCAGGGAGCTGGATGGGAAGTACAGCAGCTGGGACATGAACCAACACCCATATGGGATACTGGCACATGCAAGGCAAGGATTTAGCCACTAAGCTACCGTGCTAGGTCCATGGGTACCAGTTTGAGTCCCAGCTGCTGAACTTGTGATCCATCTTCCTTCTTGTTGCGTTGGAAAGCATCAGCAGATGGCTCAGTACTTGGCTTCTGTACCCACATGGGAGAGCTGGAAAAAACTCCAGAGTCCTGGCCTCAGAACAGCACAGCTCTGGCAGTTGTGTAATGGGGCGCTGCCATTGATGGCTCCTACCCACTTGTCAGGTTAATTGACAGCGGACAGCGCATGGAAATGGAGTTTCCGCACCCCGGCCTTCCTACATCCCCTCCTGCTGGTAAAGTTAATTGAAGGTGTGAAAAGTGCACCCTGCTCCTCCTTCCGCACCATTCGGAACAACTGACAGCGCGGAAATTACTTGGGAGGCTCCCTGCACCTGGGCCCTCCTATGGTACTAGATTAAGTGAACTACAAGAAAATTTTGGGCTCTGGTAGCTCCTTGTCTGCCTGAAACCTAGCTTGTACTGCATGGCTCTCAATCTGATTGGAGGATGAGAGCTTAAAAACCTCCTGGCTTTGGTAGCTCAGTGCAGTGGCTCCTGGAGTGTAGCAGGAGCTGGTGTCACCAAACTTGGACAGTAAACACTCCTCCAGGGCTTGGTACAGTGGCCTAGCAGCTTAAGTCCTCGCCTTGAACGCGCTGGGATCCCATATGGGCACCGGTTCCTATCCCAGCAGTCCCACTTCCCTTCCAGCTCCCTGCTTGTGGCCTGGGGAAGCAATTGAAGACAGCCCAAAGCCTTGGGACCCTGCACCCGCGTGGGAGACCCATAGGAAGTTCCTGGCTCGTGACTTTGGATTGGCACAGCACTGGCCATTGCGGTCACTTGGGGAGTGAATCATAGGACAGAAGGTCTTCCTCTCTGTATATCTGACTTTCCAATAAAAATAAATAAATCTTTTTGTTGTTGTTGTTCCAAGATTATGGGTCAGAAATCTCTGAGACAGAGCATGAAGTAGGATAGGCAGGTAGCTACCTTAGCATCATAACTTGAAAGACATACCTCCCCTACTCTATGCAAAAACAAAAACTTTAATAAATACACAAATAGAACGTAGAAATACCTCTCTCCCACCTTTCCCCTCCTTTTCCACACTACCCCTGAATATGGTCCATGTGTGTCTCTGATTTTTTTTTTCATTTTAAATAAACTTTACAAGAACAAAAAAGTAGAATACACAAAACTGAGAGTTGATGAAGACAGGTTCTCATGCATGACGGCCTGATAGTAACTATTACCAAATAACTACCAGAACAACCTCAACAGAAGGCCAAGATTTCAAAAGAGAAATGCCAGCTTAGTGTTCACACAGCTTTGGAACACGGCTCGTGTGTAAATGCAGTACCCATACCGGGGTTGCCAGACCTGAGAAAGCCCTTGGATTTGCTTGCATATACAAGGCAGTGATCAGGACTGGGAACACAGACTCAAAAAAGAAGAATTAAAGTGCCCAACGTCAGACTTGTCAAATAATCTGGGCATTATCACCAAAGGCCAGCTAACTTGGCTGAGAACCATTGCAGCATCCCATGGCTTACTGCAGAGGCAGAGTTGCTAAGTCTTGGGCAGGCCACCTTGCTGCATGTGTGCTGCCACATCTGGAACATCAGGAGGTTACTGGTTCACTTACAGCAGCTTGGGGAGAACTGGATTGGAGGCAAGGAATCTGGAAGCAGTAAAGCCCCTACCTATTGTCTTTGGTGCACCCTTTATCAGGTCCACCATCTCTCCCTTAACTAGCAGTTCCACTATGAAGAGTAACGCATTAAATTAAGGGAGTGACAAGAGGGCAAACCCAGAGCCAAACTCTTTTGAGTCACACAAACACTCTGGTTGTGCTTACAGCTAACACCTCTGTTCTGAAAGTTTTGCAGGCCATGATCAAACAAAGTAACAACCAATCTACCCCCAGACCCAGACAAATTGGAGTCCACTTTTCTGTTATCCCAAGAGAAGCCCCCTGAGCCTCTGCCCCGATTATTGACCAAAGGAAGGCCACATGTACTGTGGATCAACCAGAATTAGTTGATCTCCCTCTCCATCCTCTTCCCTATTATAACTTTGCATATAAAATTTAAACATATACTTTTTTATTTGAAAGATAGATTTACAAAGAAAAGGAGATATAGAACCTCCATCCTCTGTGATAGACTCAGAACTGAGCTGATCTGAAGCCAGGAGCCAAGAGCTTCTTTTGGCTCTCCTACAAGGGTATAGGGGCCCAAGGATGTGAGCTATCCTTTGCTGCTTTCCCAAGTCACAAGCAGGGAACTGAATAGGAAGTGGAGCCTCCGGGACATGAACCAGCGCACATACGAGATCCCAGTGTGTGCAAGGTGAGGACTTTAGCGGCTAAGCTACCATGCAGGGCCCAGTCTCTTGTATTTTCTATGAACCTCTGCTGTAATTCTATCTGTTTCTATTGGTAAACATTGTGTCACCCAGATACTTGACGTTGATGATTCTCAATCCCCTGATTTTTTTTTTTTTTTTGCTTCCAGTTCCTTGTTGGTATGTTTAGTTTGTACATTTCCATTGCATCATGGCCAGTTGTTCCTTCTGGCTTACAAGCCTGAGCAATGTGCTTCCAAGCATCTACTTCATTTCCATGTCTTGCAACTTGACTCGACAGTCTATTTCCTCTTGTGACTTAATGAGGTCATCAAAATCCTTGTAGTCAATTCGGTAAGTTGAAACATCGCCACAGCAGGGTGACACAGAAGCCAGTGTTGGGACATTGTTGGTGCTTGAATTCCAATCTGTAGACTAAACGGAATCCTCAGTTTTTTCCAATTAGCTCCTCAGAGCTGTCTGCCTTGCTTGGAGAACTCAGAATTCAGCCTTTCTCCTCTACAGTGTGTAGATAAAGGGCAGCTTGCAGGTTGGTCTTGAGCTCTGACGCCTGGTATAGTTCT